TCCTATACTATATAATATATATAAAAACAAAATCCTAAACTTTAACTTCTTGTCCAAAATCCTCAAATTTTAATATTTTGTTTTCTACTTTCCTATTCGTTATAATTGTACATTAAAATTCCTATGCTAATACAATTTCTAATAGAATATATTATTTCTTACTTTTCTATCCATACTATAATTCTACATTAAAATTCCTATCTGTAATACAATAGGACAATATTAACCTGAGCGGTTGAAACCTGAGCAATATAAAAGAGGGTGATTCTAAAGAAGAAGAATCATCAATTCACCCAGTAGCAATTCTGGTTGGTACGGCTGGGTTTGGTTTTCTGGCAGCTATTTTCTTCTGATCGACAGTTTTTTTGGAGGTGCAAATTTTCTACGACAGTTGCTGTAATTAATTTGTTCGGCAACAAATTCCCTTTGGCTCAATTCAATTTGTCCATTTTAGGGCAGTGATTAAGTATTCCAGCGAAGGAGATCAACAATTTCCATAGCAACTTATCTCAATAGCAACATTCTGGTTTCTTTTCTAATTCTTAATTTATTACTCCATATTAATTTGGTTGCATTGTATGGTGTGTTGCTATTTGGAGAATGGATTACTGCAATTAATTATGATGTTTAGTTGGTAATTTTAAAGCTTTAAGTATTGTGTTTGTCCCCTTTGAGCTGCTGTTAGTTGTGAAGTTGTAAACAGGGTATGAAACAATCGTTAAAAGTTCATGTTCCGGGCTTTTCCAATTTAATTGTTAATTTAGAATTCTGGTTTTTGGTAATTTTTCTGTTTATTTTCCTGAATGTTGATTCAATTACTTTGCATTTGAGTTGATACTGATCTTTGTTATTCGTTTTTAGCACTTTAAATTGTTAAGTTAATTGTTTTAATTTCAAGTTTATAAATTGCATTTTATCAATTCCATGTGGGATCGATCCTTGCTTTGCACGCTAAACTACAATTGACTCGTGCGCTTGCGATGACATATTAAAATTGTCCGCTATCTAAAAATGGAATGAAAATTAGGTAAAAATATCACTGTATTTGATATTCTAATTGACTAATTGTCTGGAAAAAAAAATTTCGCTGAAAATGAATATGATATTACTAATTGACTAATAATTATTATGGTAATTAAGCTAAACATGGATCGTTGGATTTATTTTTATAATAATTATTACAATTACATTATTTATCCTTTTTTCTCCTATTTATTTTAGTAATAATATAATTACATAAATTATATTAGATATCGATTTTTTAAGGATGATTGCATACAAATGAGTCCTATAGTATTCAATTAATTGAGTGATACTTTTGCACTAATCTTATAATCAAATAAATGTACATTTTTAAATATTAGAATTGTTTATAATTTCATCTTTAATTTTATTATCTAATATATAATAAAAAAATTTATTTGTGCATTGAATATATAATTGGGCAATTATTTGCTTGAATTCAAGCAAGGATAATTCAAAAAACATAATCGATCAAATCCATTTCATCAATTGCACAATATAATATTCTTAAAATAATATAACAACTCAATTTCGTGCGACGCACATGTGAAAATACTAGAATTTTAAGAATATTTGAATCGATATACAATTATATAAATTATAGCAACAAATATTATATTGTGCAATCTATTTAATATTAAAAATATAACAATATTAAAATTCTTATTCCTATTTTTTCTGTAACTACTCAGAATCAATGATATTTAGTTAACTCCAATCTATTTATTCGACTTTGTTATTTTCTTGTCATTATTTATAAATAATCTAATTTGTTTTTTTTTCTCACTTTTAAGAGTTGATGTTATCGGATTCATATAAAAAAAAAAAAAAACAGTTTCTTATGGTGGAGTTGGAGAAGTTGCTATCTTTGTGGGGGAAGAGCCTGAAGGACTTTTCAGAAATGTCAATTCCAGCGAAACTAGCATGGGTTTGAATTTGATTGCTGAAGAGTTGGCGTATGACAAGGAATCATTGAAGACAGAGCATGAAACATTGGTAACACAATTGACCGACGAGCAAAAAAATGTTTACGACTCTGTGATGAATGAATGGAGCAAGAATAGTTAATGGGACACATGAAGGAACCAAAGTTCTTATCCCTCGAATGTCTCTCATCACTCCTTCTGATACGAGATTGCCCATCAAGTTCCAGCGTAAGCAATTCCCGTTATGCTTGCATATGCCATGACTATCAACAAAAGCCAAGGTCAAACACTAACTCACGTTGGATTATTGCTGAAAAAATCAGTCGTTAATCACAGACAATTGTACGTGCCTTTCTCCCGAGTCACCATCCTGATGGCTTGAAGGTGTTAGATCTAGACGAGGATGGATAAGATTGTGTTGCGACTACCACTTTACAAAGAGGTTTTCAATAATGTGCAACTGCAATCGATGATATTTTTTTGGGAAAAGGGTCAAATAAGCCTTCGAACTTTAGCTTAAAAGTCAATTAGGCCCCTAAACTTTTTAAAGGTGTAATTACACCCATCAACAATTCATTTAAGTGCAATGACGCCCAAAAACAAATTAATGACCTGCTATCACATGTCATTAGGGTTCAGGCCACCTTCCGACGAATTTTCCGGCAAAAAAAAAAAAGGTGACCGGCGAAATTTTCGACAAAAGAAGTGACCGGCGAAATTTTCGGCAAATTTGGGTCGGTTGCTGGTCACATTTTTTTTGTCGAAAAATTCGCCGGAAGGTGGCCTGAACCCTAATGACCTGTGATAGCAGGTCATTAACTTGTTTTTGGGCTTCATTGCACCTAAATGAATTGTTGATGGGTGTAATTGCACCTTTAAAAAGTTTAGGGGCCTAATTGATTTTTAAGCTAAAGTTCAAGGGCCTATTTGACCCTTTTCCCTATTTTTTTTTTCTAAATGACAAAATTGTTATATATCTAGACAAAAATATATCCTCTATACAAATGAATTAGGATAACAATTGATTACTATAACTAACTTGGTAGATAACGAGCACATTTACCCAATTTATAAAAATCCTAAACAATGATATATAAAATCTCTAAAGTTACAGTACCGCATGCGTACATCTACAAATTAGCTATTAATTTGAGCAACTATTTGCTCGAATTCAAGCCATGGTAACATCAACAAACATAAACGATCCAAACCATATATTCAATTGTACTATATAATATTTAATTTTATAATTTAAATAATTGTATATCGATCTAAATATTCTTAATATATTATAACAAATTCATTTCGTGCATCGCAAGGGTGAAAATAGTAAAAATATATCAAACATAACAACAACATAAAAATAATGTTACTAAAAAAATTATTATTTGCATTACAAATTATATTTATATTAAACTAATTAAATTCGAACTAATAAAATTTTAAAATTAGAGAAACCATATTATTTTAGTGTAGAATAGAATTTGATCGAGGTAGAAATTTGGTGTTTTGGTGTAATGGGTTGGAGATAAATAAAATTTGGTGTAAGAATATGCTGAGAATATTCTCTTTGATGTGGCATTTGGTGGAGATTTTTGGTGTTTTAGTGTTAAATGGGTTGGAGATGCTCTAAAGATGGTATTTTGAAATTTTTGGAGGTACTTCATAGTGTAGCTCAAAGTCTCAAGCTCATTTAAAGAATCAAAGTTTGAAATGCTATCATTATTTGTTACAAAATGTTTGAAAGCAATAAGGAGTTTAATGTGATGTAGAAGCTTTTGCATTTTCGTCGTGCCTCAACAAAAGTAAAAGTGATTTATATATAATGGTAACCTTTTAAAGTTATGTTGAAAGTAGTGGTGCACAACTTCTTTTTAGTTTGAGTAAATGTGGTATGCATCTCAATGATTTGATTATCTGAACTAATACACATAACACACATATAGACTGCAATTAGAAAAACAATTTCTTTTATACCATATATATCATAGGGAAGGGATCAGGTGTATTTGAGGCTTCTCGTGCGGTTGTGCGGGTGGACGCACGTTAAGCATTAATTTGACGCACTTTAAGTACACAACACACGCACATAAAGTACACAAACAAAACACCTTCAGAACACAACCTCACGCATGTTAAGCACAAGCCTCACGCGTGTTAAGTACAAGTCTCACGCATGTTAAGCACAAGCCTCACACATGTTAAGCACAAAAACACACGCACCTTAAGTTTTAAAAACAACTCACATTAAGTACACACTCACGCACATTAAGTACAAAACTCACGCACCTTAAGCACACGACTCACGCACATTAAGCACAAAACTCACGCACATTAAGCATAAAACTCATGTATTTTAAAGTTTCAACAACAACTCACATTAAGTACACACTCACGCACATTAAGCACAAAACTCACGCACATTACGCACAAGACTCACGCACATTAAGTACAAAACTCATGCACATTAAACATTACACACTCACGCACATTAAACACAAGACTCACGCATATTAAGTACAAAACTCGCGCACATTAATCACCCGCACAATCGCATGGGAAACACTTAAATGCACCTGAACCTTAACCTATATATATATATATATATATATATATATATATATATATATATATATATATAATATTCTTTTATATTATATGTGCATACTGCAAACAAAATAATATGCGCACAACTCTGAGGACATTTGAAAAAGAAAAAACAAAGAATCAAGCATTATATATTGCCAAATGCATGTATACTCAACCTCTGCTTATCCACCATAATTCCTAGTTCACATAGGTTGGGGCATTTTTGAAGCACTTGCATAGCAACGGTGACCTACTTCCCACAACCAAACCTTAATCCATACAGCTTCATAACTTGCAAATTTACTGCAGTTGTAATCATAGATACATCCATCTCCATACACTTGAAAAATAGAAATAAAGAAACAAAATTAGCCATCACAATAACTTTAACAAGCCAGAAGGTATAGAATTATATGTATCCATATATCCATTTGCATAAAGTAGAATGAGTTAGATTCTCACTCGCAACAAAGAGCCAGACAACCAAAGAGTCTTAATGACTTTCAAATGAGGTGCCAACCATCTCGAATCAACTCCTTCAGAACAAATAACAGACAAGATTTCAAGCTTTGGAGGGCTGATCTCGAATTTATTGATCCCAGGACAAAGTTCGAAAGCCAGCTTTTCAAGTTTAAGAATACTAATACTAGAGGCAATTCCATTAACCCTGTGCTTAAATTCAACAGCAAAGAAAGCTAATGAAGTGACATTGGAAAATATACCAACAGCATTTACAGGCAAATCAATAACGAGAGAATGGACTATCAGTTGCTTAATTGTCCTGCAAGAGAGTAAACAAAATGGCAACTTATATTCCGCTAAAGATATGTTAAGTTCCTCCACGCAATTTCTTGACAGAAAAAGACTCCACTTATCAGAATCAGACTGCTCCGGCTCAGGACCAACTCCTTCCATTATCTTTATAGTAAATTTCTTAACCGGCTCAGCACGAAAAAAGATGATATTATTGATTATGTTCACGAAGGTTATACCTACTTCTTCTTCTTCATCATCATAGCACTGTTCACCATTATGCAAGAAGTCCGAATCAAACACATGCTGCCCATGCTACAACCAAGCATCATTCCAGTGCCTTGAGAGCAGAGCCATTCTGGCGGCGTCTCGGGTGGGCAAATACTCCAAAATCCTGTCCTTTACCTCTACTGGTAGCTCACTTGTTAAATCGCTTATAGGCTTTCGCCGAGCCATTAAATTGGAGACACCTGGGAGGTGATTCTTCGCTACAATCGAAATAAAAACCTAAAATCGTTCCATTCTTCGACTACAAGAGGGAAATTTGGGAAGAAAACAGAAATTGGCCGGGAGAACTGAGAAGGGACGTAAACGGGCCGGAAACCCTCACCATAATTTCTACATCTACAAATACAAATCTAATAAGAGCGAATAATGTTAGGTCCTTAACTGGAACAAAAAAAATGTCGGTACTAATTGTTTCTTAAAATGAATGGTTCATATTATTTTGATTTTAGTATCTTTTAATGATTTTCCTTATTTACCCTCTATTATATTATTTTCTTCCCTTAAATAACCCTAAATTCCGTTAGTTTAAACTTTAGTAACGGAATATTCCGTTAACTATTTATTATTCTTAACATACTCTTAATTTATATAAGGTCTTAGGTTCGAACCCCATCCCAAGTATAATTGACATAAGCGAATAATGTTAGGCCCTTAACTGGAACAAAAAAAAATGTCGGTACTAATTGTTTCTTAAAATGAATGGTTCATATTATTTTGATTTTAGTATCTTTTAATGATTTTCCTTATTTACCCTCTATTATATTATTTTCTTCCCTTAAATAACCCTAAATTCCGTTAGTTTAAACTTTAGTAACGGAATATTCCGTTAACTATTTATTATTCTTAACATACTCTTAATTTATATAAGGTCTTAGGTTCGAACCCCATCCCAAGTATAATTGACATAATTGTTAAACATATATTCCGTTAACTATTTATTATTCTTAACATACTCTTAATTTATATAAATTTTTAGGTTCGAACCTCATCCCAAGTATAATTGACATAATTGTTAAACATATATTATGAATATGTTAAAATGTATTAAAAAAATATATAATATAAAATTTAACATAAACTCTGGTCAAATAATTAGCTCGACTAAATACATAGCATTTAAAGTTGAGCATCAAATATTATAAATCAGGAACTACTTTAAAATTATTTGATTTTCTTGAATTTTTTATTAAAGGAATAAGGGTCAAATAGGCCACTGAACTGTACACAATAATTCAATTAGGCCACTGAACCTAAAAAAACAACAATTAGGCCCCTAAACTGACTAATTTCTTTCAATTTGTCCAATTTACAAGTTTTCCTAATTTTTAACAGGTTACCCCTCCACCTAGGATGCATATGTGGCATTTAAAAAAATATTTTTAAATTATTTTTTAAATGTTTAATAAATAAAAAAATTATTTTTAAACTATTTTTTTAAATGTTTAATAAATAAAAACTAAAATAATTTAATTTGAAATTTTTTTTTAAAAAAATTAACGATGGTTTTTTTTTTAAAAAACTATTGAACGTTCCTGGCCACGATTAATTGAACTATTGGTATATTTGGCAGTAATTGAATTGTTTTAACGGTTTTTTTCTTCTTTCGTTCTAAAAAAAAAAAAAAAAAAAAAAAAACAGTTGTTAGATGGAAAAAGTAAAACATATTAGCATCAACATCTTTCGAGAATAGTTAGAATACAAAATAAGTACACCATTATAGCAATAAGATGGCAAAACACAAAAAAATGTTACATTCAACATCCAAACTCCAAAATACTTTTCATAAGATACTGACCATCCTAAGTACTAATGAGCATCCAAAATTCTAGCAATACACATAAAATCTGCACTTCAATATTATAACATTCTGACATTTTCAACAAACAATTTGCACTTCAAATATGGACTTCACAGTCTGCCCCTAGCCAGAACACCTGCGTTCTTCCTTCCCCGATAAATTACATGTTCTCCTGGTTGTCCGGGCTACATAATACAATGAATAAATCAATTCCCAAACATGTTTAGGTCATAACAATTATATTATAATACTAGAATGCTTAGTTGAAATATTTCATAAAAAAATGACTTACATTGAATATGACTGCTCCAGTATTAGGATTTGTGTAAATACCCAATCCACCACCAGAAGACCTAGAAGTTGATGATGTGCCTGTAATAGTAGGGGGTGGACCTTGACCTCTAGTACTTGGACAATTTGTTTTGGAATGACCTTTTTGTTTGCATATAGAACATGTCATAATCCTGCCTTGTCGTGACATCTTTCCAACAGGAGGCTCATTAGCCTCACGAGTTCTTTTCTTCTTTGGCCTACCCGTCATCGTCCTCGGTACAGGGGCTTGGATTTCTTCAGCATTAGTTTTAGGCCAACTAAGTTCTCCATTCAAAGGTTGAATTGTGTAGCTATAGATTTTTTTGTAAACTTCTTTGGAGTAGCAATCATTAATGAATTCTTCTGGATCTCTACCCTTATCAAAAATTGCACACAAAGCATGAGGGCAGGGTATACCAGTTAGATCCCAACTTCTACATGAACAACTTCTTCCTTGTAACTTAACTTTAAATTGCTGTCTCCCTTTCTTGATCTCATAACCATCATCTCCATTGAAGTCAACGTGCCACCCAATGCTCTCCATTATGTTTGCATTAAGTTTTTTCATCACTCTTGGTCCAAAGTTCCCTGGCCATTTCTCCAAAGCTTGTCTTTTGGTTGCAATTCTTGTCATCATGGCAACTCTTATATCCTCTAACAATGGGATGATTGGCTTTGACCTTGCTTTGACAATTGTTCCATTGAATGCTTCACACATATTATTGTCAATTGAATCACACTTTGATTCTGTCCTAATGAATGCCTTACACCAATATTTAGCAGGATAATTGGACAAATTATCTCTAGCTTGGATATCGTTCTTCCCCAATTGCTCAACCATGAATTTGAATTGGTCCTCAGTTGTTGAGTTAGCACACATCCAAAATAGTCTCTTTAACACCTTGCCTCTATGTTTCTTGCTCCAATTTGCATGGATATGTCTAGCGCAATTTCTATGTTCTGCATTAGGAAGCAATTGTTGAATGGCACTAACCAAACCCTACAAAACCAGAAACAAATAATAATAATAAAAAAAAAACATATTACAAAGTGTAAGAAAGCAGCAGTAAAAACTTCATATTAATTAGAAAGCAGTAAATTAAAGGCATCATATTATTAAACAAAACCATTATTAATAGTTTTAGTATTAGAAGTAATAAAAAAGAAGTAGTACTAGTGTTATTAGCAATAAAGAATAATCTGTAAAGAAATAATAGAAGTACAGAAATATAAGAAATCAGATCAGTAAAGAAATTAGATAAAAAAATTCAGTAAATCATATTAATAAAAATATATCAGATAAAGTAAAAATCAAATAAGGAAGCAATAAATCACTAGCCTTTTGTTGGTCTGAAATAATTGTCCATGCATGGCTGTTGGTGATGCCCAAGTCTTTTATCAACAACTCTAAAAACCACTCCCAAGAATTAGTATTCTCTATCTCAACTACTGCCCATGCAATGGGATACATTTGGTTATCCGGATCCCTCTCAACTGCAACTAAAATCTCACCCTTAAGTGTTCCTTTGAGAAAGCAACCATCTAGTCCTATAACCTGCCTACACCCAGCAAGAAAACCCCTTTTCATTGCGTCAAAGCACACATATATTCTTTGAAATGTACATGGTGCATTAGGGACTACTCTATTGGTTGTAATAGGCACACTGCTTCCAGGATTGGAATCTAAACATTCTTGTGCATAATCTCTTATTTTTTTGAATTGTTCAGAAAAGCCTTGATTAATTTTCTTCCGGATAGCTTTGTGCGCCCTACTTACCATAATCACATTAACATTAATCTTCAACTCTGACTCTATATCATCCTTCAACTTAGTGTGTTTCATGGTAGGATCTCTTATAATCTTCTCCTCATATTTTTCTTCAAGCCATTTCTGACTTACAACCCTTAAATTATATCTACAATTGCACCTATGTTCTAACTCCATTGTTTTCAGTTGGAAACATTTAAACCTCTCTTCCCAGCTACAATGTAAGAGGAAAGGACAACCAGGCAGACATTTCACTCTAACTCTCATTTTCTCATTTTTGTAGAACTGAATATCTCTCTTCTCATGCACTGCATATTTTATCATTGCACTCTTAAACTGACTTGCATCATCAAACAACATTCCTATCTCAAGCTCTGGATAATCACAAGCTGGGTTATAAGATGGGAATTTGCATCTGTAGGCTTCCCTTTCAACATCATCTTCTGAATCACAAGTTGGTGGATCTTCGGAGTCATAATAGTAGTTATCACTTCCATAATCAATACATACTTTGTTTCCCTCAACTTCATTCTGATTTGATCTTGTAGACTTAGCTTTATATATATTCTTTGCCTTTGCCTTACCCTTTCCCTTATCATTTCCATGTCTGACATCATTTTCTTCCATGTTAAGATCCTCTTTTGATGCATCCAACCCAACATCTAACCAAGAGTTATTTCCAATCTCATTATCTTGTGTAACCCATCCATTATCATCCTCATCATGTTCACTATCTATCTCATATTCAGCTTCATAATTAATTTCAAAATCATCTTCAAGTGGAACCTCAACTACATGATCCATCTCCTGACCTTGATCCACATTCTCAGCTACATGTCCTTCATAAACATTCTCAGGTACACATAATAACAATTCTGGAATCACTTCAGGTTCATCAATTCCATGATGTACGTAGATGTCACATTTCTTCCATTTTGTTGCCAAACTAATGAGGTCCAAAGTACTTTCATCATTCCACAGAACTTTGAGTTGTCTCAGAGGCTCATGGGTTGCTTTGTAGTATAAACTTTGCATATTTCCATACTGCCCATCTTTTATATATTTTGCTAAATGGGGATATGAAATAAGATCGGGGTCAATTTGTATCCTATTAACCTCACCATTGATATACTTGAACTCAGAACTTCTTACAAAATTTCCACCATGGTGGACTACTAACTCAACACTTGCACACATTTCTGCAATAACTATGGTAATATTAAAAACTATTTAGCAGTGCAGTAAAGAAGTTAATTAGAACTTTAAAAAAAAATTAAAAACAAAACACATCTTTAAGCCACCAAACAACCAAACACACTCAGTACCATTTAACAACACTGTTACACTGTACTACCAAACAATAAAGCAAACTAAGTACCATTTAACAAATAGAAACATGACACCTAGCATTCATTTAACTAAATACTCTAAAAAATTCAATAAACTTTAGTATGATGCATACCCATCAAAGTTTCAGCATGGGCCCCATTTGCAGGCCAGTTTTCAAAAAATTCCAACATCAAAACAACAAAGGACCACATTTTCAGGAAAAAAAAAAAAAACTTGTCAGCATTATTGTATACATATTCAAGGAATACAATTTATAAATTTGGGAGAGCTGCAATTACACCCAAACAGTACCATATAAATTAAACCCCAGAATACATACAACCCAAACATATGCCGTAAAAATAAAAATGTTGAAATGAACCAATATAAAATAAACCTAATCTAAAATCATTGACCTAAAATCTATAAATTAAACCCTAGAATACATAATTAAAATCATTGTATACATATTACAGGAATACAATTTATAAATTATACAAAACCCTTACATAAACCCAATCCCCAGAATACATACAACCCAAACCCTAACATAAAACTAACAAACACGAATACCTATATGTACTTTAAGTATCAAGCTAAACCATACCTTTTGGAAGTTATTGCGGTTGAAAACTTAGCAGTGATGTGTGGTGAGTTCCGATTGTGAACGGAGAATGAGTGGTGAGTTCCGAATGGTGGTTTGCGGTGGAGGTGCGATGATTGATGAAGCCGATTGTTTACTGTGATTAGTCTCTTTAATAGGAAATTAAATTGTTTTAGTTTTTATTTATTAAATATTTAAAAAAATTAAAATAATTTAATTAAAAAAAATGCCACATATGCATCCTAGGTGGAAGGGTAACCTGTTAAAAACTGTGAAAACTGGTAAATTGGATAAATTGAAAAAAATTAGTTAGTTTAGGGACCCAATTGTTGTTTTTTAGGTTCAGTGGCCTAATTGTATTATTGTGTGCAGTTCAGTGGCCTATTTGACCCTTATTCCTTTATTAAAAAAAAAACAAATTTATGTTAAGTTTTTTTTTTTTTTTTTTTTTTTTTTAAATTGATCTTCTTCTGATTATTTAGAACAAAACTTAATATTTCAACTATGCTTTTGCATTATTGGAATGATTTAGGCCATTATGGTATTAATATTTTTTTTGTATTTTTTTATAATGGTACAATTGTACATTACATTACTAATATTATACTATTATTTTTTTTATCGAACAATGTTCTTACATCATTGTCAGACCTGCGCGGCCTAACTACAAAGTTGTTGATCAAATATAATTTCATTAGTTATATTATCTTTATTTTCTACAAATCAAAGATTCCTTACCTTCAAATTTATTAATTTATTATATTTGCTACATTGTTCATTGTCTTCTATTTTACATTATCTTGTAATTAAATATCAAAGTTATAATACAAAACATGTGTTATATATATATATATATATATATATATATATATATATATATATATATATATATATATATTTATTTATTTATTTATTTATTTACTTACCAAGTATTTTATACAAATATAATAAATATTAATATTTCGTTCAATACTTTCACATGATAAACTGGGACACACATCTCACAACACATGAAACATGTAGGAAAAAAACTACCACTACTAAATATCAATAGGTGTTTGTACGCTAAAGAGTTCATATTACAACTAAAATTTCAGTCATATACACAGCAAGGTAAATCTAAAACTTCCTACACCATAATCCCATTGCATGATGAATCCCTCTATGCTGCTACCAGTAACCTAATTGCATATGAAACACTACCAATAAAGAAAAAAAGAGGACATGTACTGAAGATGAAAACAATAACAATGCTACCTGAAAAAGAATTAAGAAGAATTAGAGAAATTTAAATCAAAAGTAGTATTTATTTAGACTATCGCTTTAAAACTAAATATTTAGACTAGCGTTATTACAAAGTTGCAAACATTTATTTTAGTGACAATTATAATCAATCTCTCATGTATTATCTTGCATTTATATACTTTAAATTACCGATTTAAATAAACAAATTCAACATTTATTTACATATGCATGAAAATCTCCTATATAATATTGTATTGATATACTTTGGAATACTTATTTAAAAATAATTATTGGGCATTATCTCATTCGCACAAAGTGCGTAAAAGAACTAGTATTAGTTTATATATCTAAATATCAGTTTCAATAACTTATTTCTTTTTAACAAAATTTAAAACTTGTTCGGAGTATTAATTCATTATATTATATGTTTGTGGTGCTTTTTTCCCTCAATTATTTATGTATTCATTTCAGCTCTTCAATTATTTTAAAAGTATCATTTCACACCTGTAAAAAAGTCTAGCAGAACAAAATTTAATGGTTTGTGGATCGAAACAGCAATTATGAAAGGTCAGGGTGCAGCATGAAGAATCGCTTATGGTTCATGGTGCGAAATGACACTTTAACCTTCATTTTATTATATGTTTGTGGTGCTTTTTTCCCTGAAGTATTTATGTATTCATTTCAGCTCTTAAATTATTTTAAATGTTGTAATTTTTTCTCATTTAATGTTATGTTAAACTAGTATTTGCATCCGTGCAATGCACGATCATTTTGTTATAGTATAATTTAAAAATATGAAATGCTCATTACATACAAAATATAAAAAAAAATTCACATTAAACAGAAATACAATTATAAATTATTAAAATAGTTAATACCCATTTTTGTCACTCGACTATTAGGTAATGCGCGATTTAATCTAATACTATTACAAGTACCCAATTTAGTCCTCGAACTTGTAAAATCATACCCAATTTGGTCCTCCGTTACAATTGTCATCCATCCACCGTTATAGAGAGGGCAAAAACGTCCTTTTATCTAATAGTCAAGGGACCAAAATTGGTATTAGCTATTATTATTATTATTATTATTATTATTATTATTATTATTATTATTATTATTATTATTGTTATTGTTATTGTTATTGTTATTGTTATTGTTATTGTTATTGTTATTGTTATTATTGTTATTATTATTATTATTATTATTATTATTATTATTATTATTATTATTATTATTATTATTATTATTATTATTATTATTATTATTATTATTATTATATTATTATTATTATTATTATTATTATTTATTATTTATTATTATTATTGGGACAGTGTCTCCTGCCACCATATTTTGGACTGAATTAACCGTTAACCGAAATCTTTAAAAAAAATATATTTAACCATTAATCGAACCGAAAAAGTCTGGTTAAAAACGATTAATCGAACTTTGTCGGTTTGATCAGTTAATCAAAAATTTACCGAAATAAAACTTATAGTGTACTGTGTTCACTTATTGTAAATGTTGTTGATCAATTGTTGAAGGGTTACTTTCTGATTATTTAATGAATCACACTTTTAATAAAATTTCATGCACTACTTGACTACTTAGTTTTTTTTTTTTTTTTTTTTTTTAAGAATTAGAATGTCAGCTGCTTTATTTGGCAATAAATGAGCATGGTTTTCTTATTCAGACAACAAATAATTACTTTTAATCAGTGTTGTAAAAATTGCGCCTAGACGCTAGGCGGTCAGCCACCTAGGTATGTATATATCTAGCCCCTAAGCAGTCCCCAGGCGCCTAGAGGGCGTCTAACAATTTTTTCAACCTTGCTTTTAATTTTCAAGTTTTGAAATTTGTACTAACCTTTTTTGATTTCAAGAAAATGACAAATGATAAAATTTATATTCTGATGCTTCTGAATGTTTATTTTTCAGGAAAATAAAGATTAAACAATATATTACAACTAATAACTTATTATTCATGAACATTACACGTTGACTTAAATAATTTAAGCATATGAAAATACATTATTTTTTTTAAGTACTATCTCCTCTCAAACAATGTAGTATCTGTTCATACATAGCGAATTTTTCTCGTCACCAAAAAAAAAAAAAAAAAAGAAGACATCTTGATAGTGGATCAATCAAGATCAACATAAAGAATGTTCTGTGAAAATTATTTTCCGAGTACAAAGACCATATGAAACAAATAAAAAATGGGGAAAATCTTAGAATACATCATATCATGACGTAATGGCTATGCCTCGACAACAAATAACTATTATAAGATTAGATTCAAGAGGATAATAATTAGTGCACTCTAATCGTATATGTTTATTTAACTAAAAGAAAAGAAATTGAGATTTCATTAGTTTTTTTTTTGGACAATTGATGCACACCACATTTAAGGACAAACAGACTTTAGTAGTTTACATTTTAGTTTTTAAAATAATACGGTAGGAAGTAATATGGTGGCGGGAGGCATTGTCCCAACATCAAATATAATAATAATAATAATAATAATAATAATAATAATAATAATAATAATAATAATAATAATAATAATAATAATAATAATAATAATAATAATAATAATAATAATAATAATAATAATGACAATAATAACAACAATAACAATAATAATAATAATAATAATAATAATAATAATAATAATAATAATAATAATAATAATAATAATAATAATATAATAATAATAATAATAAGGGAAAATTGCATCTTTAGTCCCTGAGTTATAATCAAGTTCCAACTCAGTCCCTAAGTTATGGTCGTATCCTAGTTTAGTCCTTCAGTTATGAGCGAAGTGGCGAGTTTGATCCCTAGCGTTAATATTTCGTCGGCAACTAACGGAAACTTAAAAACAATTTAATAATAGAGGGGTAAATTAGGAATTTCAAATTATAATCCGCTTCTTATGTTGAAACTCATTGCGCAACAGTCATTCTTTTCTTCTTATACCTACAATCAAAGATCTTTTTCTTCCCCAAGCTGTGAAATCTCAAATTCGTCCACTTCCAAGCTGCGAAATTCACATGTAAGTTGTTTCTCTATTTTATATGTTTTAATAAATAATCAATATTCTCCGTATTGATGAACTAATATTAGCCGTTAATTATAGGATGTCATCTCTTAATTGTGGTACTTCATCTTTCCCTCAATTTGAGGATAATTTTTGATGTAGATGTAATGATTTATTACCCATTAAAATGTCATGTAGTTATGCTAATCGAGGGAAAAGATACCAAGCTTGTCCATGTTATGGAGCAAATTTGTGTATTTTTCAAAAAATCGTAATTCAAGTTGTTTTTTTTTTTTTTTAATAAATAGAATTGAAATATTGAACTTCGATTTTTTAGAAAAACAGGAGTATGGTTTCTTAGTTGATTACATTAGCAACTTAGGAGGGTAAGGAATTTCAATTCGATGGGAAAAGAATAATGTAAGAATTCAAATTACATTGTTTGGTACGGAGGAATAATAGAATTATTGGGAGTGAAAATGAAAAAGTTGTATAAAGACTAAAATGTCCTTGTGTAATAATAATAATAACAATCAACATGGGTATTTTTGTTATTTCTCCTTTTTTTTTTCCTCCCGACAAGCATTGAATTGAAATTCATGGGGTACCCCATGAATTGCAATTCAACAAAAGGAGGGAATTGCAATTCTCTCCAACCAAACACTGTAATTGAGGCCTTCATTGAATTATAACTAAATTACATTCAACCAAACACCCTCTTATGGTTTTTGTCATTTTTGCGAAAGTATTTTGGCTAAGTTTACAAGTTTTATTAAGAAAATTACTTCTTTATCCATGGAATTAGGGTTTTTGTCAATTTGGCGAAAGTATTTTGGCTAAGTTTACAAGTTTAATTTTATTAAGAAAATTACTTCTTTATCCATGGAATTAACTTTGTCAACACACCACTAGCGTTAGGGACCAAACTCGCCACTTGTCTCATAACGAGGGACTAAAAATTAATAACACAGGGACCAAATTAACTCGCCACTCAATGGTTCAGCAGACAGGGTCAAATGCCGGTGCGCATAAAGGATCTACCCACTTTAGACATAATTTCGACACTGCCGCCATCGAGGTTCAAACCTTGGTCTCTTCTCCCAAATACTGGCCACTGAACCATTGAGCTAAGCCCGTACGGGTATTTTTGTTTCCCTTTCTATAACAGTGGATGGATGGCAATTGTAACGGAGGACCAAATTGGGTATGATTTTACAAGTTAGAGCACTAAATTGGGTACTTATAATAGTATGAGACTAAATTGCGCATTACCTAATAGTCAAAGGACCAAAATGAGTATTAACTCTTATAAAAAATTTCTTTGTAAACCCATTTTGAGTAGTCATAAAAAAACTTCACCACAAATTAGAACATTAAGACCAGTTGGGTTGCTAACCCTTGAAATTGCTACGTACAATTGGCCATTGTTAAAAACAAGATTTTTAATAACAAACCAACATAATTGAAATTGCTACGTACAATTGGTCATTGTTAAAAACAAGATTTTTTAATAACAAACCAACATAATTTAAAGTTTGTCCTTGACTTTTATTTATTGTCATGACGTATGACAACATAACAGGAAATTGCTTCCTTTGAAATTTAAATGGAAGCCTTGGATTTGACGAAGTCAATGCTATTTGTGGGATCAACACATTTGTACCTGCATTGTTTTCATTCATAATATGCGCTTCAAGCACATGGTTTCCTAGTTTTGAGATAATCAATCGTGTTCCATTACAAAGACCCAATGAGTGGTCTATGTTTCTCAAAAGCATAACTAGCTGATATCCAACCTTCAACCGAATGGTTTGGTATACCTGATCACCTCAAACCGTTTAAGAATTCAGGAATGTGAAATTCAGATAACATATATATCAACATTAGTGTGACTTGTACACAGAATCACAACTCAAATATGTCTTAGACGACATCTCATTCATACCATTAATGTATTCATTCACATAGTCGACAACATCTAACTTCGGAGCCAAGATGGCTCGAGTCGCCAGATTTTATAGTCCATTATCTTACCACTACGGTATGAAGGATATGTGCTATCGACAATCTCTTGTATAGGATCACCTTCTGTTTCCAATAAAAACTGAGATGAAATATTGATATTGCACTCCCCGCCATTGTTGGAACCAATGCAAGTTTTCCATCACTTTGCTTGCTTAAACCTTAAATCTTTTGTTTTTTATTTTCAATTTTTAAATGAACTTAATTAATGTCTCTTTCAAAAAAAGAGAGCTTAAAGTCAATTATGTTACAACTACATATTCATTGAGACATTGCTGTAGATCTACAAACATACTATTATAGACTTGTCAAACCACATACAAGTTTATTAAGTCATTACTGCATGTTTATTAAATCCCAATTACAAGATAAATCATTAAGTCACTATTAAAGGTCCGTACGCCATTAAATCACTATGGTACTATACGGTATGTTCGTTAAGTCACTATTATAAATCTATCAATTTACTACTACAAGTTCATTAACTTATTCTTACAAGTTTATCAAATCAGATCACTACTACATGTCTAAAAAGTCACTATTATAATTTTATTAAGTCAATACTATAGATCCATCATAAAATTATTGAAGAGACATTATAAATATCTATCAATATTAGTGTTATTTAAAATATTTGAATAAGACATTTTTAATGATATCTTTTTTATACATTGATTTTATTATAAAAAATAAGTAAGGAATATAATAATGTGTCATTGAAATATTTGGAGGATCTTTTTTGCATTGTTCAAGCCTACAAATTCCATTAACTCTATGAATTTTAATTTGAAATTTCTAACATATAAGGTTAAGATTTAATTTACTTTTAACTAGAGTTATCAATGCAGGTTAGAGGAAGACGAAGAAAAACCTCAATCCACCTTACCCACTGATAACTTTTTTTAAAAGAAAAAAAATGAAAAATAAAAATTTTAAAATTAGAGCAAACCAAGCCACACCAACACAAATATAATGTGAAACAACTGAAATAAGTATAAGCAACAACGGGAAATGAATAATTTTCTCTCTAGGGTTTTTCTAGAGTTCTCTCTACATCTCTACTAGGTTTTCCTAGGGTTCCGATCGTTTGCTAGGGTTCCGATTGCGTTCTGCTGCGTTTCTCTGGCGAATCTGCTCACGTTTCCAGCGTGACATCGCTGCACCAGGAGTTGTCGATGGAGCACCAGCCGAACGCCGACTTGGAAGAGGAGTTGGTCGAAGGTTACGCGGGCATCTCTTTGCTCGACGAGGAGGATGTAATGGTTCCGGCAGGGGAGGTCGCTGCGCCGGAGGTAGGGGAGGGGCGTCGGACTGGGTGCTCGTTGGTAGGTTTTTGACACGTAAGTTTGTGAAGCTCGAGTTCATGCGGGAGGTCTTAGCCTCCGTATGGCAACCCGTGTGCGGTGTGCAGGTTTCAGAATTACAGTCGAATCTTTTCCTGTTTATTTTCTATCATCAAACAGATCTGCAACGTGTGTTAGATGAGGGGCCATGGGCGCTTGATAATCATACCTTGGTGTGTAGACCGATGGAGGATGGGGTACTTCCGATTGACGTGGTGCTGGATAGTGTTGATATGTGGGTGCAGGTCTATGGACTCCCAATGGGCTATACGTCCATGATCATACAAGAACAGGTTGGTAACTTCTTGGGTGGTTTTGTGAAGGGGGATGAGAGGTTTGATGATCGGCCGTGGAAGGTGTTTTACCAAATCCGTGTTAGTATTCCGGTGGCTAAACCTTTGCGACGGAGGATGAAATTTGCTAAACGGGATAATTCATGGTGCTGGGTGATTTTTAAGTATGAGAGGTTACACACATTTTGCTTCTTTTGTGGCTTGTTAGGCCATTCATACAAGTTCTGTTTACAGGCACGAAATTCAACTCTCACTTTGGATCAATATCCGTATGGGGCGGAGATGAAGGCAGGGTTACCACATGGTCCTAGGCCGGTGGGCCATTCTTGGTTGGTACCCGTAGGGGGAGGAGGTGGTAGACGGAGGGAGAAAGCTGTGTGCCTCGGGGAAGGAAGTGGCGGTGGTGGAGGGAGGGGGAAGGCCGTGTGTGGGGAGTCTTCCGGTAGGGCAACCGGTGGACGGGGAGGGAGTGACGTGTGGTCCAAAAAGGCGTACGGAGGAGGGACGGGGTGGTGAGGGAGCTAGGGAGAGGGTTGGGGAGGATGTGGCAATGACGGATATCTCAAAAAACTTGTTCATGGCGGGTTCTGGTTCCCAGACCCGCTCGTCCTTATGAGTACCTTGTGCTGGAACTGTCGCGGCTTGGGTGATCCACGAACAGTTCGGGAAGTGTTGGATATGGCATCCAGAAAGAAACCCGACTTTATGTTTTTAATAGAAACAAAGGTTGCTAGAGATCATGTTGAGCGGTTACGTGTGAAATTGGGGTTCCAGGGGTTGTTCTATGTGGATAATAGGGGGCGTAGTGGAGATTTAGCCCTATTTTGGAAATCGAATGATGCGGTGAGTCTGTTAAGTTACTCACGAAACTATGTGGATGTGGTGGTACGAATGGATGGTTTTGCGCCCTGGAGGATGACGGGTTTTTACGGTTTTCCGGATCGTGGTAGTAGAGAGGAGTCATGGAATCTTTTAAGACACTTAAGGTCTCGTTCTATGTTGCCTTGGGTGGTCTTGGGAGATTTCAATGACTTGCTTTTTCAGTATGAGAAGAGGGGACGCTGTAGACACCCTGAGTCATTGTTGAGGGGTTTTGGTGAAACACTTGAGGACTGCGGCTTGACACAGATCGCCATGATTGGTTATCAATTTACATGGGAAAAGGGGGAAGGCATGGAGGATTGGGTGGAGGAGAAGTTGGATAGAGTGGTGGCGAGTGATGAGTGGCGAGAGGTGGTCGAAGGGGCCCGAGTCTATAATATACTGACGAGGAGATCGGACCATTCGGCTCTCTTCCTGGACATACGGCCAGGTGGGGCACCCCGAGTTGGACCGCGACATTTTCGCTTTGAGATGGCCTGGTTGCTGGATGAGGGTTGTATGGAGGTTGTGGAGGAGGCGTGGGGTCATGAGGTGGAGGATTTGCAGGCCCGGGTAGAGAGATGTGGTATGAAGCTTCAGAAGTGGGGTGGTGACCGTTTCCATAAGTTTGGGGAACGGATTGCTAATCTCAAGAAACAGCAGTTGAATTGCCGTGGTCGTATGAGCCCCCAGGCGTTAGCAGACTTTCGCCGTCTGGAAACTGAGTTAGTAAGATTGGAGAAGCAGGAGGATGTATTCTGGAGGCAAAGGGCGAAGCAGCATTGGCTTCGTGGGGCGGACGCAAATACTCGTTTCTATCACAGGTATGCTTCTGCCCGAAAATGTAAGAATACTATTTTACGTTTTAAAGATGAGTTGGGTGGATGGGTAGATGGTGATGCTATGAAGGCAGTCGTAATGAATTATTTTAATGATATTTTTACTGCTAACCCCGATGTGAGTAATGGAGCGGACTTTTTTGCCTCTATCCCTGTTCGTGTTACCCAGTCCCACAATGTTTGGCTGAATCGGCCGTATGATCCGGGGGAGGTGAGAGATGCGTTGTTTGCTATGTTTCCAGACAAAGCACCGGGACCGGATGGAATGAATCCGGGCTTTTATCAAAAGTTTTGGGACATTGTTGGTACAGATGTGACTAGTTGTGTGCTTCAATGTCTAAATATGGGGTCCTTGCCAACTGGTCTTAATGAGTCGAATATTGTGCTAATCCCGAAAACACAGTCCCCTGAGGTGGTTACGGACCTCCGCCCGATTGCCTTAAGTAATGTTGTTTACAAGATTATTGCAAAGGTAATCGCTAATCGTATCAAGCCCCTGTTAGGTGATATTATTTCTGTTTCGCAGAGTGCATTTATTCATGGCAGGTTGATTACTAATAATATCTTGATTGCTGCTAAGGTAGGACATTTTCT